TGGGCTATCACGGCTGCCACTGCGGCCGCCATCGCAACCTGGAACATGGCTGGGTCGAACTGAGGAGGTGGTGGTGGGGGTGGTGCAGTCTCAGCTGCGTCGCCGCGTCTAGGATTTCTACGAGGTGGCATTTTCTGCCATAATCAAGAATGAAAAGACAATAAGTCTTTGATACAAGTCGAGTGTTAAACTAAACATGATTAGTTCTTTATATGCATCATGATTCCGATTTGTAAGAATGTTGTAAGAATCCATTCATACTAGAAGTCTATAAACAATGAAATATAGACTTTATAAATTTCGGTAGTATTGATTATTCATGAAATGTCTGCGATAGTATCCATATCGGGTCCACCCTTCAATCGCTCGATGTACAATATTTATATATAATCAAGATTTAATAAACTTTCGAATCTAATGGGTCTGTCCTGGGCCCACAACCAAACAAGGAACAGGATCCAAGGCGGAACCACCATTTCTAGGTCGACATGGTCTTAATTACACATGACTTTGATTTATACCTTGGGCGACCATAGGTTGGCCACTAATAGATTTTTATCTGAGAATAGTTCATGTTATGAAATTGGAGTAGTGTTAATAAAGCAAATAGCGTGCCAATATCATTGATATAACTTAGTATACAATACTTGGGAAAATTTGACCCTACTAGGGTTCTATGCTACATCAATGTACGGAAAATTTTGGCCGCCTAACTGATCCCGGAAGTGTAAACACTTAAATCGCGAGATTGAACATAAAATACTAGAAAGTAATATTTATCCGCAAAACTAAATTAAACTGGAGCGAGCAGTGCAAGCACTACTTGCGGTGGTTGAAGCTCTGAGGATCACGAAGTGTAGACACGAAGTTCCTCATTTCGGTTCTAGATTCCGCCGCTTGGTGCTCTGCTTCTGCCAGACATCCTTCTAGAGTGGCTCGGTGTTCTCGGAGTTCTTGTACCTCAGCCCGGGTTGCAGCCATTTCTCGTCGAAGGAGCTCGGTGCGGTCTCGAGTCCGATCGTGGTCGTCATCCAACCGGCGAATGCGAACAGAGTTGAATTGGCTGGTAGCACTAACATCCATGAGATGTTGGGTGTTAACTCTTGTTTGCTCTTTGTGGCGTGTGACACGGTGAACTAAGACAGGGAGGGATCGGTCGGCTGACCCTCCTCTACTGAGATCGTAGAAGCCTCGTTGCATGCCATAGGGAGGTTGTTGACCTTGTTCTCTGCTCCATCGATGTATAGTTTCGTCCCATTGGGGCGTCGGGCCCTGGAAGTGTCGCGGAGGATTAGGGGAAGGGTGTGGATTGTAAACTTCAGGTTCGGAGTCGGTTCCATCTGAGTCTTCTTCCTCTTCACCGTCTACAGATTCTTCTTCTTCCATGGGTTCCTCGTCCTCCATGGGCTCTTCTTCGGGTTCTTCCTCTGGGTCTTCCACAATCCAACAGGCATTCCCTTGGTTGGGAAAGTAGGGATCACCTGGTAAGTGGAATCATGCCATCGTACCTGTACGAGAATGGGGGTAAGGAGGAATGTCGCGAGAAACTTTGGGAACAAGAAGTTAGTTGTTGAAGTTGTGATTACGGCTTTTTGTGTTAAAATACTCCTATAGTATTTTTAAGTTTGATTCTTGGAATTTTTGGTAAGTTGCAGACTTGTTGCTCACCATGATCCTTCTTCGGCATACATTGGTCATATCTTGGCTGAATATAGTTGATCAAGCTATATTCATCCAAGATCTGACTACATACCCCGAAGCTGGACCATGGTGTCCAACTTGTCTTGATACTTTTATGTTATTGCCATTAGGATACTGAATGTGCGATTGTGCGAATACTTTTATAAAAATATTAATTCTTATTTTTAAAGTATTTTTGAAAAGCTACGTCATAGAATTTTTGTCCCGTTGTATTTATAGTTTGCATATCTTACGTGGTTCGATATACTTAGTTCACTATAAACAAAGCTCTGATACTAATCTGTCACACCCCCAAACCAGAACGGCGGAAACGTTCGGGGGCGGATGACGTCATGCTCAGTATCATAACCATAGTGAAGAAAGTTAAACACGACCATCATAGATATAATTTAAAAGGTTACATTGTTTCCAAAATACATGTTTCCAAACAAATTACATATGATGATAAAATGTGGCAAAAGAATCTACGCCTTAGCGTCTTGACTTCAGAAATCTTGTAGTTACCTGATTCACTGATTACCTGAGAATACAAGTTGTTTTGAAAAGAGAGTATCAGCATAAAGCTGGTGAGTGCATAAGCGATTTATAAAGAAAATAAATGTTGCTTCCTTAAAGTTTTGTTACCAGAAAATCCAATATTTTCTGAAAGGTTTGTTGTAGTTTTAACCGAAATAAGGCTTGGTACGAGTAAGAAAATCGTCGCACTTATATGTGTAATTTTATGTTTAAGTAAAACCCCTTTTTATGAAAAGGTCGTAGAAATTCCGTGAATCGCATGTTTTGTTAATACTCCGTGCGAGGTGTTATAACCATACTAAAGACTAGAAGGCCTTGTATGCGATGTTCTTCAGGCGTCGGAAAGTTATGACACTTGTCACTCCAGACCTGTCGGTCTAGCTGTTGCAAGCAGCTTAGGTACGGGTTTGTCAGACCCAGTATAGATCTATACACAACTATCACGTTCTCTCTCCAGAAGATCCTGATTATAACTACATGACTTTTCTGCGGTACTTAGGAGTACCCCGAAGGAGAAAGTCTCGCGAGTTTAATTAATAACAAGATCACGTAGTGTGTAATGAAATATTTGTTTTGTAAGTCGATTGAGTTACTGTTTCTTTGTCAAACGAAGTGCTCAAACTATACCTGTTATAGTTTATCAAGGAAGTGTTGTGTGTGTTTGGATGAAACCTTTTTATGCAAGTCATTGTATTTCCATAAATCGACATTTGAAATGATAAGTGTAAACCGTATACACACCTTGCTCAGCATGTTACAAGGTGTAGGAAAACTCTTAAACATGTATTAGATAGTTTTGAAAAAAAAATGTTAAGTTTAGGTTGGGTAAAATAGCCCGTGAACAGATAGGTACACAAACACAAACACAAACATAAACACACCAGTTGATTTGAATCAATTTGATTAGTATTTGAAGATGTACGTAATTGATTTGTTTATGATTTAATAATTCATAGATTGGAACTCCATGTTCCATGTTCTTCAAGACCAAGAACATAGTCTTCAAAGTGTAAAGCCCAAACTTCATAGTCTTGAGGGAAAAGGATTGGGATCCTAGTAGTAGATCCGATACTGCTAGAGAGATTGAAAGACAGAGTATGTGGATCTTCTTGATTCATATTTGACAAGATAATCGAAATTGTAAAGAATCAGATGTGTAAGATACTAATCGCGTTTAGGGTAAAACAATGACCCAGAACTAACGTCTACAATCGATGAAAACAATGAAGACAACTAGAAATAGATCCGACAAAAACTCAAAACCCTAGTTGAACTCGATAGAAGAATTGCATATATGTGTTTCACAATCTGCTGCTTTGATACCAATTGTTGAAATAATAAATAATAAATCGATAGATTCAGAACAATTTAAGTGAATCAAAACAATAAGAAGAATGATTGAATGTGTGCCAAATGCTTTATAATCAATGTCTTAGAAGAGTTCAATAAGAACTTCTCTGTAAAGACAACGTAGGGCAATTGGAACATTAACCCTAAAACGATACATGCATGCAATATATATATACCCTAACCCTAGCACCATAATAGCAGATGGACAGGCCCAATCCAATAACAATAAAGACTAAGTACATACATAATAAATTTGACATAATACAATAAATAACCCAACAAAACGGAACCTAAAGTTGTCATGGAAACAAAATCTGAGCCGGAAGAGAATCCACCACAACCAAAAAAAAGTGGAAGGGCGCCTCCAAAGCAATGGACATCCGCTGAAGAAAAGACGTTAGCGCGTGCTTGGGTGGATGTTTCTGAAGATCCGGTGATCGGAAACAACCAAGATTGTCCAACTTTCTTCCGAAAAATCACGCGCCGGTTTTTGAACAAGATGAATCTTGGTGATTACCGGAAAAAGACCAAGTTTATTCTAAGTGGCGAAATGTTAACAAAGTGGTGACAGAGTTTAATGAGTTGTTTTCGAGTGTGAAACGACAATTGAAAAGCGGTGCAAACGACGAAGCCATTTTGCAAAAATCTCTTGACATGTACCAGGAACAAAAAGGGGCGCCATTCAAATTTTTATATGTTTGGAACATTGTAAAATTGTCAAAAAAATGGCAGGATGTTGCATCTTCTCAAACCTTTACAGGTGGTTCATCTAAAAGAACCAAAACGTCTGAAACGATACATAGTCAATCGTCCGATGCGCATATCGGGATTGATCTCAATGAAGATGAACCTTTTGAGGTTCCACTCGTCCCATGGAAAGAGACAAGGCCAAACGAAAGGGAAAAGCGACAACAACTACTTTCGAAGACGTGGAGAAACTATCAAAAAAATGGACGGCTTGTAGTCTTCCTTTGAGCGCTACTTGAACTTTGCACAAGAGAAAGAAAAAACTCATGCCATGTCCATTTTAACAAGACCCACAAGCGAGCTACCTAGACGCAAACGTGAAATGACTTTAAAAGCCAAAGAGGAGCTTGCAAAAAAAAATATAGCATCTAGTTTAGGTTTTTTAATTTTATTGTGTTCTTTTTTTTTTTTACATTTCTATGTTTTTTTTTTAATTTCTAGGTTTGTAATTTGAATTTCTATGTTTTTTTTGATGTGTTCGTATTTTTATTTTAAATTTTTTAAAAAAATGTTATATTTAAATTATTTATTTTGTATATTAAAAAAAAAATAACATATCGCAACCAGCACCTACCAAAAGACAAATTTTGGTAAAAATAGGGCAAGTGTAATGTGACGCACCGTGGCAAGCACCATGACACACCGAGTACCCTTATAAAAACTACGAGTTGTGCGATAGAATTGCGGGTATCAAACACCTTAAAATCAGTGTTGGCACAAATATCTCCACGCTTAACCTTTCCGTCCTCCAATTTCACTTCTAGTCTGTTAATGTCAGATCCGGCGGCCACCATCAGCTGCCATGTGGTGGCGATACCATACCCCGGCAGAGGCCATATCAAACCCATGATGAACCTCTGCAAGCTCATTGCTCTCCGCCATCCTTCCGACTTCCTCGTCACCTTCGTCGTTACAGAAGAATGGCTGGGTTTCATCGGCTCCGAGCCAAAACCGACTAACATTTGCTTCGCTACCATCCCTAACGTCATCCCTTCCGAGGTGAACCGAGCCGCCGACTTCCCTGGCTTCATCAATGCCATACAAACGAAAATGGAGGATCCGGTAGAGCAATTACTCCGACAGATGGAGGTTCCGGCGAGTGTCCTGATATACGATACGTACCTTATTTGGGTAATTAATCTCGGAAATCGAATGAATATTCCGGTGGCGTCATTGTTTACGATGTCGGCGACAGTGTTCTCCTTGACTTACTATTATGATCTCCTCGTCAAAAACGGCCACGTCGGAGATAATTTCTCAGGTATGTTTGAGGAAAACGGAAAACCTTTGTTCTTGTAGATCCATGACTCGATCTGATAATTGATTTGATATTCTGTAGAAAAAGCTGAGGAAGAAGTTGATTACATGGAGTTCGTCCAATACGCGTGGCTGATCTTGTGACAGGCTTCAATGGCAATGGCAAAGAAGTTTTGCCAGTAACTCTGCAAGCCATTTCAATGGCGACGAAAGCTCAGTTTCTTCTTTTTGTGTCGGCTTACGAGCTCGAATCCCAAGTCATCGATGCCATTAAATCAGAGCTTTCAATACCCATATATGCCATTGGACCAGCAGTACCTTACTTCAATTTGGACAACATTGAAAATGACTAAAATACCCCTGATTATATAAAATGGTTAGACCATCAACCAAATGGTTCGGTGTTATACATCTCACAGGGAAGTTTTCTCTCGGTCTCGAATGCCCAATTGGAAGAAATCATTGGCGGTGTGCGCGACAGTGGTGTAAGTTACATGTGGATTGCAAGGGGCGACGGAATATCTAGATTTAAACATGAAAATGACGAAAATGCCCTTGTTATACCTTGGCGTGACCAATTAAGAGTGTTGTGCCATGGTTCCATAGGCGCATTTTGGTCACATTGTGGTTGGAATTCGACGAAAGAAGGTGCTTTTTCTGGTGTGCCGATGCTCATATTTCCAATATTTTGGGATCAAGTTCCAAATAGTAAGATGATTGTGGAAGATTGGAAGATGGGAAAGAGGGTGAGGACCGAAGAGGGTAATTTGGTCACTCGAGAAGAAATTGCTAAACTCATTAAGTGTTTTATGGATCGGGAAAGTGAAGAGGGGAAAGAGATGAGGCAAAGGGCATTGGAAGTCAAAAAGATTTCTCGACAAGCAATCGAAGAAGAAGGCTTTGCTCAAATTGATATTGATTCTTTCATCAACGACATTACAAAAAGTCACTAGAATTGATTAATCAACTATTTCAGTTATGATTGTTAGGCCTAAATTAGCTAGCGAATGGTAGTATCATCATCTTGTTGTAAGAGTATCCACAACATGACCACCGTTTAGAAAGAAAACATTTTAAAACATCCATAATATGAGTTTTTAAGAAATTTTTCAAGCTAAAAAGATCTTAAAATAGAAAAGCTATTATAAGTAGCAAACTTTTTTCTTAAACTGAAATTTTCAATGATATGGTAGGTACCATACCTTTTCATATCAATGGCATAACTTGTGGAAGATATAAAAAGGGTTTTTCATTATATTTTTTTTCACAAAAAAATCTTTCAAGTAAACCCAATCTCTTATGTAGCACAAAAATGAGGTACATATGGTTCCTAGCTGAGAGACCTCACATTTGCTTTTTTTTTCTTCATTTTTTTAAACTTATAATATTGCATCCTTTTGTTTTACATTTTCGGTTTATACCCTACACAAATTTAATATATTAACTGATAATTAAAACACATAATAATATATAAAATAAGTTGCAATAATTTTTTTTGTCTAAATCTAAAAACATATTTAAGTTATTATGTTAGGGCATCTCCAACCCACCCCAAACTCCATTTATTCTCCCATTTTTTCTCTCATTCTTCTCCAACCCTACCCCATTTTCACCTCTATTTTTGAAGATATGAATAGTATTCCCCCATATATGGGGGAATACTATTCATATCTCCAAAAATGGAGGTGAAGTTTGGTTGCCAATTTTAGTCTCTCTTATTTTTATTTTATATATTTCTAGTTTATTTTATCTACTAATTATAGTTTAAATGCAATATTTAATATTTATAATATCATGTTATATACTAATTTATATTAATTAATCATAAATATAGAGTTTAATTAATAGAGGGGTGTATTTGACAATATATAGTTATAAAAATAGAATATTCTAGGAATATACTTTTTGGGGTAAAAAATGAGGTAGAAAATGGAGTAGGATTGGAGATGAAATACTATTTATTTCATTTTTTACTCCATTTATGAAGGAAAAAATAGAGATGGGTTGGAGACGTCTTAGGTTATATTGAAAAGGTTAAATATTTTTGAAAAATCTATATGCCCAAAAGTCATTATAAAATATTGCTAGATAATATATGATCCTAAAAGGTCATATTAACAACAATTTGATGCAAATATATTATTTATAAGAATTTGATTCTTAATAAATAAATATATATCTTGTAATTAATTGGAAATTATATATTTCATGAAAATATTAATTTTCAATGTTAAGTATCAAAATAAATAAATAAATATATTATATATATATATATATATATATATATATAATATATATATATATATATATATCATAAGGTATGTTTTATGTGACATCCCAATTTCACGGCAAAAAAAGACCGATTATTTATGCTTATTTTGAAATCAGAGTATCTTTAAAAGAATAATATTGCAGAATTTGTTCCCAAAAACATGATAATGATATTATCAAAATATTTCCGAAGAAATATTTTTTATTTATCTTAAAAACCTTGGGATGTCATTGTCGATACAATACATAAGCATAAATGAAATAATACATGCCTTACACTAGTTTGTCTAAACTATTGGCCTATAGGCATCCATAAATCTTTCATCATATAAGCCCACCTGTGTTCTTGTGCCACTAACTGTAATATAAGAAATTGAGTGGGTCAGACTTGGGGGCATGATGAGCACATAGGTTCTCAACTCACAATAATTAAATCTTTATTTATTATTATTAAATTATCAACCCGATTACCCCTTCCCGCTATCCTCAATCTCTGTCCCTAACATCTAATTTCAAGGGACATATCCTAAGGATCATCTTCGGGATAAACAATAATGCTTAGGGGAGTCCATATCAATATATGTCAGTAAGGCAACCATGGAGGGGGTGGTGGAGTACACCTGGTGAACACTAAGTTCAAAAACACCTACAGGTTGTGAGCCTGTTAGCGTTCCATTGGACTGTCTAGAATAGTTCGTGGTCGTTATCTATACTCCGCTAGACAGCTAGATCATCTTTAAAGTCAAGGTTGCTAATCATCTATATCATATCTCATCTCTCATCATCTATATTACATTTCATGTCTCATCATTAATGTCATCTTATATCTACCCATCTTTACCCAACATATTTATAGTTATAAAATACATATACAATTTAAAATCGAGTAAAACATGTATAAATCGTTCATCTAGCATAGATATCAGGAACACAGATAATAGATACATATAGCATGTAATTATCTAAAATACTTTATATTTATGTGTAAGATTAAAGTAACTATGCACTCACTTGATAAAATGGGTGACTGGTGATCTGGGCAGAGCTTCGTCTAACACATCAGATATTCCTTAACGTGACCTAAGTATAATTACTATAGAGTTTTAGTCTAATGATCCTGGAGACTAAGAATAGTCTAGATCCTCACTAATCTCAATGTCTACATCAAGATCTATCAAGTAAGGATCAGCCATGCATGATAGTTGGGAGGCGGGACCATTTAGACATATAGTCTTTCTTAAATCTAACAACCAAGCCAACATGACCATTCTAGACACCTTTCCCGTAAGTAGATCAATCAATATAGCGACATGGAATTACTGATAAATCTTATTTATAGGTTCATAATGACGACTTATGACTATAAATATAAGTTACACAGAAAAGACTAGAGTGTAGCTTAACCTTTAGAGGTTCTTCCTGACAGAAGTTAGGAAATTGAACTGACAAAGCTTCTACTCCCTAGCTACTACTTCTTCAGGGATCGCAGGGCTTCGTCGAAGTCTAAAACTAAAGTAAATGGGCTAAAATCGAGAGAATTTCGAGAGAGGGGAGGATGGGGAGTGAGGAAACTAATGATCAAACGAAGCCTATTTATAGTACAACTGCGCGTCACGTCTGGTGTGCGCGCCACACACACCTGATACGTCACTCTTCCCATTTTCTGCCACGAGTCACAAATATGGTGGTACACGCCCCACCTTCTAGAAGGTGTGCGCCGTGCAACCCACCTGCGCGTGATGCTTCTCGGAAAACTTCAGAAAAAATCGTATCTTCTTCATACGAGCTCTCAACGTTCTTTGTATCTCCGGAAAGCTCCCATTTTCGACGTTCTTTATATCCCCGGAAAGTTCTCAACGAGATCTACAACTATCGTTTAGACTCCGTCAGCTAATTTTGATTTTATTTTTAAAGTTATATTCTTCACAGGCTTAGACTGTTAAAGTCTGTTAAAAATTCATAACTTCCTCATATGATATCACTTCTCGACTGTCTTTTATATCGACGGAACCATATGGACAAGATCTTCAACTCTCGTTTAGATTGCTTTTCCTAACAATCAACCAATTTCTACTTCGGTTTCTGAGTCGTATACTGCTACACTGAAACTTCTAAAAATCCTAACTTCCTCTTAAGAAGTAAAATTGAGGCGTTCTCTATATATACGCTCTCGGTTTAATGACTACTACAACTTTCGTTTAGATTTCTAAGGCTAATAATCGTCCTAACTCTGATTTGCTATTTACGATATCGTAGTCGTGCCGGTTTGAACGTGAAACTTCAACGGGTATAACTCATCCGTTATAAGTCCGTTTTGAGCACTCCTTATACCTCCGTAATCCTTATTACGACTACTTCATCTCACTCATAGGCTATTCATCCTAATCTTTAATCTATTTAGACGCGAATTCCATCCCTAATTTATTGTGTAGCTATAAACACACAATGTATTGTAACGCTTGTTTTAGGTATCATTTATTTCTCTAACATTTAGGGTTTTGGACTGGAACTCGACGAGTTGGATAGCTCTAACTCGTCACGTAGGGATCATTAAGGAAGCGGGATGAAGGGTCTTCTCGATGAGTTGGAAGGCCTCAACTCGACGAGTAGACGCTGGAAAGGAAAACCCTAATTTTCCGGGTTTTGCACCCTATATAAAGAACTTATGGCTCATTTGTGGCCTCCCTCACCGTCCTTACAGTCCAGAGAAACCCTAGTTCGAGCCTTATACCTCCTTGAGTGTGTGTGAGAGCCTTGGAGAGTGATTTTGAAGTGATTGTGAAGGAACTTGGATGTAATAACGTAAATTTTCAAACCAATATTTTTTCAAATTTAAAACACATTTTTCTCAATTCAAAACATCTCAAAGTGTCATAATATCAAACCATCAAAACACATATCCCAAAAACTGTATATGTAGCAAATCCAGGATCCTCTCAAAACATGAGTCAAATCCCTGATGTGTGTACAATCAAGACGGCGCCTTCCCGTGATCCTGAGAAGTACCTGAAACACATAACACATAACACGGTAAGCATAAAGCTTAGTGAGTTCCCCAAAATACTACTCATATCTCAGCAGCCTCTCATGGCTATACTCAGATAAGACCCTCTGGTCAAATGTGTCTCAGTGGGACCCTCTGGTCCCACATCTCAGCTGGACCCTCCGGTCCCTCAACTCAGCAACTCAATATAATACACAACATACATATCACAAAAACAAATAGCAGGATATCTCAATACACAGTATATGCACATAAGACCCTCTAGTCACACATAGGTTACCACTCAAGGTAAGTATAGTGAGAAGATTCACCTCGTAAGAACTCAAATAATCTCGAACTCGAATCACCGGTCTAGCCTCCGCCTAACACAACGATAGTTATCCCTAATTAATAAAGTCTCTCACTGAAGCTAAACTAACCCTTCTACAAACTCATAGAAGGGCAAAAGACCATTTTACCCCTCTATGGGCTTAATAGTCCACAAATTGACCAAAACCTAAAAGTCAACCACAAGTCAACGGCAGGGAGTACGCTGCGCGTACCAACTCTCTACGTTGGGCGTACTCGGCTGCCATGCAGGCATCGGGGATGCTCGACCCCTACGTTGCGCGTACTGGGATTACGCCCAACGTACATCCCAGTTTCACCCCTCTCACTCATTTGGTCTTAATCAGTTAA